TTTTTAGGTCCAAGGCATTTCCCAGCCCTTCTGCTCACTTGGGATGCTCTTAGGAACACGGATATTAATCCCAGTGTGACTCAAATGCCAACTTAATATTTGTTTCTTCTGTGCTTTGACAAAATAGTCTTCAGGTCAGACAGGCATGAAATGATAAATATTGAGTGCAGTTCTGCCGGGCAAAAAGTGCCACCTGCCAAAATCTTATCTCAAAACCACTTGGAAGTGTTTTATTTATTTATTTCTGTCACAAAACCTCATTTAATGGTGGAAGGCCAAAGGATTACAATTTTGAATCTGGGATTTTCTCCTGTCCTTGCTGAAATCTGCCCTTTCAAAGTAACATTGAGAGAATCCTTCTTGTGAACTGAAATAGCAGCTGCAAGGTTTTTCAACCATGACCATTTAAATGAGGTTTTGGGGTTTGTTTTTTTTTTTTTTTTTTTCTTTACGGTTTCATTCTCAGTTTCTGGAATCGGTTGAGGGCTCTGGTGAGGATAAAGTGTCCAAGGCCAGGCTGGACGGGGCTTGTAGGACTCTGGGACAGTGGAAGGTGTCCCTGCCCATAGCAGAAGTTGTAACAAGGTGAACTTTAAGGTCCCTTCCAACCTAAACCAATCCATGATTCTGTGATCTTTAATGATATTTGATATATAAATTGATTTCTAATGGACAGAAACCCCACAAGACACAGACTAAATCCCAGGGTGAGGTGTGAACTCCCGGTGCTGATGCCATTGTCTGCTCAACATGGAATGTTGAGATATTTCTCAATAGGAGGGGACTGAGGGGTGATGGGCTTCTCTTTCAACCACCCAGGGGTGGAGTGGCAGGGTTTGGGGTAACCCTGAGYCCCCTCCACTCTGTAAATGCCATTTTGGCTGCACCCCCTCATGAATCCCTCTGTTCTGAAGGAACACACATCCAAACATGAACACCTGGGTCCCTCACTTCAATATGGATACTGAGGGGCTGAAGTGAGTCCAGGGAAGGGAATGGAGCTGGGGAAGGGGCTGGAGCACCAGRAGAGRCTGAGGGAGCTGGGAAAGGGGCTCAGCCTGGAGAAAAGGGGGATCAGGGGGGACCTTGTGGCTCTGCACAACTCCCTGACAGGAGGGRRCAGCCGGGGGGTCGGGATTTCTCCCAGGGAACAGGGACAKGACAAGGGGAYRTAGCATTAACCTGCACCACRGAAGATTTRGGTTGGACATTTTATTAGGARGAATTTCTTCACAGAAGGGKTGATGCCCACRAAGKTSCACCTGACCTGAGGAAGAGTTTCTTTACTGTGTGGTGATCGAGCACTGGAACYGTTTGACCAGAGAAKGTGTGGAGTCKCCCTCACTGGAGATATTCCAGAACGGTCTGGGMACAATCCTGTGCCCTGTGCTCTAAGATGATCCTGCTTGATTAGGGGTTTGGACCACATGACCCACTTTGGTCACTCCCAAAATTACAAATTCTGTGATTCTGTGCTCTGATATTGGAAGGGCTGCCCAGGGAGSTTTGCASTCCCCACCCCTGGAGGTGTCTGAAGAACACCTGGAGGCGGCACTCGGTGCTCTGCTCTGGTGACAAGGTGGTGCTCGGCCACAGTTTGAACTCGGTGATCCCGGAAATCTTTTCCACACTAATTAATTCCGTGATTCAGCGAGTCCTCGTCCCTCCCAGGCCGGGGACAGCGAGCAGGACTGCAACTCCCAACACGCACCGCGGCGGCGCGCCGGGAGCGGAGGGGGCGTGGCGCGGGCGGTGCACGCTGGGAATTGCAGTCCAGCCGCCATTGGCCCGGCGCGGCGCGCTGCACGCTGGGAGTTGYAGTCCGGCCGCCATTGGCCCGGCRCGGCACCTCCCTCACSGGCGCTCCGCCCCGCTCCGGCTCTCCCTCGGCAGACGGAAGCCGGGCAGGGACGAGGGAGCCGGGAAGGCTGGAGCGGCACGATGGGGGACTCCAAAGTGAAGGTGGCGGTGCGTGTCCGCCCCATGAACCGGCGAGGTGAGACCCCTTACCCCCTCCCTGGCATCCCCCTCAGCTGTCCTTCCCGGGAGCGGCGCGGCTCGGGGGTGCCGGTCCTTGGGGACAGGTGTCCGTGGGGACAGGTGTGCCCGAGGTGTGATCGGTGYGTGTCCTTATGTGTTTATTTATCACAGATAAACCCAGCCTGGCTCGGCACAGGCGGGGCCGCGCCCGCAGCCGCGCTGTGCTCACCCCCTTCTCTCCCGATATTCCTTTTCCCAAACCTGTGCGGTTTTATGGCTTTATTTTGCCTTGCCCGCTCCCCCGGGGAACAGCCCTCTCCGCACCTCTTGCACCTGCTTTCCAGCCGGTTCCTGCTGGCAGAGCGCTTCCTTCTTCCTGCTTTGCGGTTTTGGGGGAAAATGCCTCTTTTTCTGTGTTTTACTCTGTGCTAATTCACTCTGCTGTTCTCCGACCCCAATTTCTACCCCTCGGTGCTCGAGTGGGACGCTGTTAACCAGATGACAGCGCCACAAGGATAAAAACAAGCAAGAAATTACAGAAGAGGAAGTGAGAATTGACAAGAGAATTTTTTATTGTTGTTTTTGGGTTGTTGTTTTTTTTTTTCCCCTCAACGAAACTTGCCTAAGGGTTATGTTAATCAGACCGTGGTCTGGGCAGCTGTTTAAATGTTTATTACTTGTCTTAATTAGAAAAACTTGCTCTGGATGATGAGGAAGCGAGTATGAAAAGGCAGCTTCAGCCAAGGAAGGGAAGGTGAAGAAGGCAGAAATCCAAGAAATGTGCAGGGTGATTTTTTTTTTTTAAATCCCACATTCTCACAGGAGTATGCCAATAATTCCTTTTGGGGRAAAAGAATTCAGGGAAGTCAGTTTAATAGTTGAAGCAACAAAAGGAGGGAGAGGAGAAGCCCTTTATCTGACATATTGTAACTTTTTAACTTCTTTCTGTAAAAAATGAGAAAAAAAGGTTATAATATTGAATGCAGTGATTCTGCACGTTGTAAAATGTCAGCAGGGGAATGTTCAGTGAGTTYGCAAGAGCTCCTGAGTCCAGAACAGGCAATGGAGTTGATATTTTTACCGTCTGGTGGTTTAGGGAAATTGAGGATATTTTGACTAAAAGCTGCATTTTGTGCCAGCTCTTCAAACTGAGGAGGGTGTAATTCATCCTTCCAGAGAATTGCTCGGAGGAGATGGAGTGAGGGTGTGGAGGAGCTGAGAGGTGGTGCCTGGTGTGGGTGACAAATTTGGGCTTTCCTCTTGCTCATGTCCCTTTCCTGACATCGATCATTTCCTTGGCTGGCTCMCAGATGTCTCCTGACTGCTCGGTGCTCCTCACCCCCGGGATCAGACAATAATTCAGATTGGAAGGGACCTCTGGAGCACGTCAGGTCGGATGAGGTTGCACAGGGCTTTGCTCAGTGAAGTTTTCACTCTCCAAGGGTGACTAATGCACCTCTCCCTCCCACATTTATCCTACATCTGTTCAGCCCTGAGTTTGTCCATGTGTCMTTTCCAGCCAGGGACTGAGTTCTGCAGGAAATACATCTGGGAAGAAGTGGAGGAAGWAAAGGAATCCAAAAGAAATCTAGATTATATCTTGTTATTCACTTTCATAGAATATCCTGAGTTGGAAGGGAYCCACTTCTGYCTSTCTTTTATTCTTTTATTATTAAGTATAAACTGAAAAATGTCATGGAGAGGATGACTCCTGTCAGGAGGCTCATCCAGGAGTTTGAGTATCATTCCTTGATGATTCCTTGATGAGAGAAGGATTGGCAGTTCACAGCTATTAAACATCCTGTTATTTGTGAATGACACCTAAATCCATTTAAGTCTAGCCTAAAAGATCTATCTCCTTTTATCCCTCAAACAAAATATCCTGGAATTGGTGGGGTTTTTTTTCCCCAGCAGATTATTTGTCACAGTCCAGATATTTTGGTGAGGTCTTAACAACTGACACCTCCCTGTGGTATTTCTGATGTACCCAGAATTCACAGAAACAAACAGTGCTACCAAGGCTACTGTTTTTCTTAACTATTTAATGTTAAATTTAGGAATTTGTGCAGCCGATTTTCTGAAGAGTCATCCATTTGTAAAAMTTCTGTGGCCTTGGTGTTTTTATTAGGCTTTGAAGCAGCTTTCCTGGAAGCTCTTTCATACCCGTTTTATTCTGAGCAGCATTTGTGTGGAGTTCTGGGGCTTTGGACCTGAAGCAAGTATTTGTTTTCTTCAGGATCACRAGTAATGTTCTTTCCTTCCCCCTGCACCGAAGGGCTTAACATTACAAACCTGTCAGATGGCTGAGCCCGTGGAAAGTTAAGCTTTGAAATGTTCTCAGTGTTTGCTTGTGGTKCTGGTGGTTGTCTTGGGTGTTTGAGTTATGAATTTCTTAAGGCAAAGGTTTATTAGGTTAATAAACGTGGGGTGCCAAACTGTTASGAGTTTTTACAGCTCATAAAAGCATAATGGGTTCCCTGCCTGCACATGGAAGGGATTTGTGTATCCTATAGTTGGGTATTTATAGCACTCACATCTCAAGGTGTTTGGGTTGAGGGTCCTGCTTCATCTCCATGCAGGGTAGTAATCCATAAACTCAGTKCATAGCACTCATTTTTAGTGAGGGCAACCATTTATGATTGTTCTTGGGTTTAGGATTTTTATTTTGCATCCAGTTTTCTTTATTTTGCGTCTTGCTTCCAATCAGACCTCAATCCTACAAATTCTGCATGAAGCTTTGCTTATTTTTATAAAAATGCCATTGTGTCCACGTGTTTGCTTTGCCACGTCTGGAGCTGGAGGCTCTGCTGGGTGGCAACAGAGGCGTCTCTTTTTACATCCTCYCTGCTTTGCAAAGTGGGATCTCGATTGACAGGCTTTTATGAATTAAATAATTCAGTACTGTTTTGTTAGATAAGATTCCCGGTCTCTTATTTTCTTGGCTCTGTAATTGAGTAAAGTATTTCCTAGTGCACTGTGTTATTCAAATGGGACTCTGATAACCATCAGGAAGTTCTTTTGCTGTTTTATTTAAGAGTTGTGGTGGATTTCCTTTTATGAGTGTCGTGTTGGATTTCTCTTAGCAGATACTCATTATATTTCAGATAAATGCAAATCTCAGGCCATACCATGAAGCAAAGCAAGTGACARCTGAAGGCTTTTTAATTAAGATTTTTCTGACTGAATGCTTTGTTTTCAGGTGATGTTTGGGTACAAGCAGTACATAAACATATTTAAGTGGTTGTGTTTCCTTGTGCTTTTCAATCAGTTCAGTGTAGTGTTAATTAAAGCTGATAAAAGTTGTTCATGATTTATGCTCAAGGATATGGCTGGTGAYACTTAATCCAGTCCAAGCTGCTACTTCTCACTTGGGTCGATACTTTCTGAACAAGAAAGGCAGGAAAACAACTGCCAGTGTTCTGGCAGTGATGCTGGATTAAACTGGGCTAGGACTGTAATGTAAAACCCACAGCTCCAGTTTAAATATCTGGATTAAACTGCTCCAGGATTGTAGTGGAAGACCTCCAGCTCCAGTTTAAATATCTGGATTAAACTGGGCTAGGGTTGTAATGTAAAATCCACAGCTCCAGTTTAAATCCAGATTGCCTGTAAATCCACATTCAGGTATCTGTTGATATGTTGATACATATTTTTATCCAGACTRTCAGTGTTCAAACAGGGATTTTCTCATATTTTGATTATGAAGGTTCTGTTTCCAGTGCTTGTGAGGAAGGAATTTGCTTCTCTCTCAGAAGTGCAAGCTTCTGCTCTCTGTGTCAGGTGATAATATTATGTCCTCCTACTCTTTTTGGAAGAGGTTTCATTTCCAGCCACTTGCAATGTTTTTGGGGTTTGAGGTGAGGAGGTGGGGGTTGTTCCASTGCTTTCATTTGTTTGTTTTCCCGTGGAGATTACAACAGAGACAATTTATCTATAAACTGGAATTTTGTGCAAGTGGGTTTATAAGATTAATTATGGCATTAGAGGGAGGGAGATGGCACCTGCTGTATCCTGATGGAATGTGCAAACCACAAGGCTTTTCTTCACCATTATCCATGTCCTACAAAAGTGCCTGGAGTTGGGAATATTTCCTGGTGATGCTTGATAAACTATAAAATAATGCTTGGGCTATGAGCAGGATTAACCAGATGGGGAAAGAATGCAGAGTTAATGTTTCATTTTCTGGGGCAATTGTATTTTAAGAGCTCTTAAGGTACTCCAGCCTTACTCCCCGCAGCCAGAAACTCCCWATCATCCCACGTGGATGCCACTGAGGCAATTTTAGTTCTAATTACATCTTCCCAGCTCCGAGTGCAGGGCGAGGTTACCTTGCTGCTCTGGTTTCGGGCTCCTCCTGAAGATCAGATCCACTTGGAATAACTTTGCCTGGGCTTTTGGGGTGCTTGGTGGCAGAGCAGCCTCTTGCATTTCATCCCCGTTAATCTGCAGAGTGTTGAGCATCCTCAGAGCTCTGGGGAACAGCAGAGCTCCCTGCACTTATTTTCATTTATTTATTTATTTATTTATTTATTTATTTATTTATTTATTTATTTTCTCAGTGCCCACGAGCCCAGGGGTGTTTGCAGCACCAAGGCTGGCTGTGACAAAGTTTCTTGTCCAGACACTCACTGAAGCTGTCTGGGGAACTCTTTCCTTGCAGAAAATGAGGCAACAGAGGATAGAACACATTTTTTAGCATTCGGACAACATGGAATCAACGTGAGAGGCCACCTCGCCTGTTCCATGTGCTCATGAGTTTGAGTTGATTTCCACTTTCCTGTTCCATGTCCTCATAAGTTTGAGTTGATTTCCACCCCATGGACCAGCTCTGCCAGCATTGTGTGTCCTTCCAGATGCACTCATGCATATTTAATGATCTTTAATTGCCACAAACTGRAATTTTCATGACTTACATTTGCTCAGTTCATGTAACAGAGCAGCTCAAAAGATGYCTTCATGTTGGCAGATGTAAAGGATAAGCTGAATTATTGTATTTTTGTCAGAATTTATCATCAC